AATGCAAGGGTCCCCAATCCTGGGTCATGGGCAGATATCGGTCCATGGCCTGTTAGGAATCAGGCTGCACAGCAGGAGGTGAGTAGCAGGCTGGCAAGCAAGCATTACTGCCTGAGTGCGGCCTCCTGTCAGATCAGTGGTGCCATTAGATTCTCACTGGAGCATGAACCCTATTGTGAACTGCCTGCAAGGGATCTGGGTTGCATGCTCCTTAGGAGAATCTCACACCTAATGACCTGAGGTGGAACAGTTTCATTCCAAAACCATCCCCCACCCAAACCAACCCACACCCCCCCACCCCCCTGCCCCAGTCTGTGGAATAACTGTCTTCCATAAAACCAGTCCCTGGTGCTAAAAAGGTCAGGGACTGCTGTTTAAACAGATCTGTCAACATTTCCTTTAAAAACCTTTATTTTCAGAGGCTTCAGAGGCTATGAGTCAACTATAGACAGTTACTCAGGGCTAAAACCTGAGATAAATGGTGTCAGTCTGAGACATATTATAATTCATTTAATTAAAGGAACTTTCCGTGCTTTGCAAGTCTAAACAGATAATCTTAAGAAATGCTAACCTTAAAATATCCAGAAGTCAAAGACTAAAAAAATAAGGCTTCCCATAATAATAAAATACAATAAGGTATACATTTTGCCTTCAGAACTTTCCATAATGGAACAAATAATCTATCATCCGAGGCCTCCTGACACCTTCGCTGTCACATCCAATAGCCAAATCCTGATGCCTTTGCATCTTTAGGAGCTCTTGAATCAATTTACTTTTTTCTATCTCTACCAGTTCTGGTGGGGGTTGTAATTATTCAGGTGGGACATGTGTTTGCTCCTACCAATACAAGCAAACACATGTCCCACCTAAATAATTACAACCCCCACCAGACTCCTGCTACCTGTTGTATAGACAAATACATACTTTCTGTCGGCAGCCAGAGTGATCTTTTCAAAACACAAATCCACTCTCCCCTACTTAAAATCCTTCAACGCCTTCTCACTGTACTTAAGATCTATCCTTAGCGTGGTGTACAAGACCCATGCTTTCCTGTGTAGCATCTTTCTACTTCTCTTCTCACTCTCCATGTTACAATATTTCTCTTAGTTTCTCACTATTTCACCCATGCTACCTCCTGCCTCAGGACCTCTGTACAAATGCTCCTTCCCAAGAATGGTCTCACCCACTTCCAGATTAACCACTCTTCTTGAAATGTTCAGATTTCACCTCAAAAGTCATCTGAGTAGGCAGCTAGGCAGACACAAGCAGGGCAGGAAAGCCCCTCTTCCCGGCCCCCAACCAGGAATGTCAGGTGGTCATCAAGTGATGTTCAGGCAGTTATTAAACTGTTTGAAATATACTTGGTGGGAGCCAACACCATGGAAAGGCAATTTCCCGAAAGACAGAAAACACCGAAAGCTGATGATCAGCAGGTTCTTGATGAGATCTCAGGAGTCGGGCAAGTGGGCTCCAGCATGTGCCCTAATAGGCAAAATGGCAGCTTTTAACTGGTATATGACCTTCCTCTAGGAAGGCTCAACTGGTAAGAGAAAATCCCTCAAGTGAGCATGAATACAACTGCGGTGAACCCACTGCATGGAGCCCCTCCCCACTGCTGGCAGGCCTCTGCACTTGCAGACAGACCACCCCAAAGGAAGAATCAGGGGAAAGAAATGCAGACCCTGGAATCAGGCCAATGTATAAAACCCTAAGTCCAGCGTCAGATGAGGTACCTGAATTTCTCAAATCACCCACATGCCCTCTTCAATGTGTACTTTACTCCCTTCCATTCCAGCTCTAAAGCTTTTTAATAAACTCTCACCCCTGCTCCAAAACTTGCCTCGGTTTCTCACTCTGCCTTATGCCTCTCTAATAAATTCTTTCTTACAGGGAGGTAAGAATTGAGTTGCTTCAGACCTGTATGGATTTGGTACTGCTAACAGACATTTCTTCAGGTGAGGCTTTTATGATCAGATTCCTTCATTTTCCTGCGCCCTATGGTTTTCACTATGAAAGCATGTAGCACAATTTTTATCTATATATTTGTGGAGGTTTGATTACCACGTGGTTTTTACAAGATCCATGAGATTAAGGACAAGTATTTTCTTAACAACTAGTACCATGCCTGGTACATAATAGGCATTTAATGTTTAAATAAATATTTAAAATCACATAAGAGAATGTATTCGAAAACGTACGGACATTTTTCACATCATTCACCTCAGAGAAAGGGCAAGAGGCCCAGAGACGGAAGGAATCAAGAAACATGTTTCTTTTGTCTTCCCTCCACAGGTGGGCAGACCTCAAACCGGGAAATAGCTCAGATGTGGAAGGACCATCTCAAGTCGTCTAGGCTGTAACAGACTTCAGCTCTGAAATATTCATAGATCAAGACAAAAAGTGGCACAGGGCAGATGGAGCCACAAGTACAAGATTGCTGGAGTAGAGGCAGAACCCAGACCTGGTAAACTAGATCGTTCAGGCCATTTAAAGGGATCCCAAAAAGTCCATATGTAGATCAGCATTAAAGAGAAGCAGACAGGGCCGGGCGCGGTGGCTCAAGCCTGTAATCCCAGCACTTTGGGAGGCCGAGGCGGGTGGATCACGAGGTCAAGAGATCGAGACCACCCGGGTCAACATGGTGAAACCCCGTCTCTACTAAAAATACAAGAAATTAGCTGGGCATGGTGGCACGTGCCTGTAATCCCAGCTACTCAGGAGGCTGAGGCAGGAGAATTGCCTGAACCCAGGAGGCGGAGGTTGCGGTGAGCCGAGATCATGCCATTGCACTCCAGCCTGGGTAACAAGAGCGAAACTCCGTCTAAAAAAAAAAAAAAAAAAAAAAAAAAAAAAAAAAAAAAAAAAGCAGACATTTCACAATGGGTGGAATATTTGCAATAATCACCTAAGTAAAAGAACCACAAGGGGAAGGAGAAACTCAGGAGTCAGAATCCTCCCTACAGGATTTGTCCTAGCACTGTATCTTAAAAGCTTCCTAGGTTAGTCTTTATTAAAGGGAAACAATCCCTTATTTATGCTCTTATTATTCATAAACTACATTTTAAATTGCTTACATTACTATTTACCTGGGAAACCAATAAAATGGTCTTTCTTGCTCTTCTGAAATGCAAGTATTCTTCTTAATGTTAATTATAAGCCTTTAAAATCTAGCTTTTGTCTTTGATAAATGATAGAAATTTTACACTGGATCCACTGAGAAACTTTATTAAGTACACTGGAACAAAAAAAAATCAAGATATCATCACCATATAGTATTGAAATGGGCATATGGCCCACCCTTTATTTACACTAATAAAACATTCCACGAGTTGGCGAGTGATGCCACCTCTTTCAAAGACCATCTGAAGAGCGGGACATTCTGAATCTAGTTTTGGCAGTTTTTCGTCAGTTTCTCTCCCAGAAAAGAGAGGGTTAAACATTTCCAGTTGCATGTAAAAAGCCATCTGATGACTTAAAACAAATATCCTCAATTGCAATATTCAGTTAACCTTTGTCAATAAGTCATATCCAGAAGAAAACCATAATAAGGTCAGCATCACTCCGTAAGCTGGGAAGCTTAAAACTGCAAACGCACTGAAAAGGAAAACGGATACTTTTCATTATCATCCACTCACATTACTTAAGATGGGAATCCATCCCAGATATTACAAAGGGATTCCACTGCTGCAGACTTCAAACACTGAAACTTACAGACCACATCTAAGCTCATGATATAGGCAGAGAGCTGATAATGGGATCTCCTAGGAGTCTTACTCTTCAAAGGACACAAGCCTTTCCGCCCAACTTCCTGACGCTCACTTTCCAGAAGGAAAGTTGATATGCATGACAAAGAAGGGATGCCAATCACATTTGCGGAAAGCACTCGACAACGCGGAGCGAGACCCGACTCCTCCTGCAGCCTCGCCGCCTCCGCGGTCGGGAGCCCCCCACGCCCTCTCCCGCCCCCCCATGCCCAGGGATGGGGAAGCCGCGGGCGCAGCGGCGCACCCAGGGGAAAGCAGGTCAGGGTGCGGGCGAGGCCGCCGCGCGCCGCCAGCCGCCGGGTCCGGGAAGCCGCAGTGGCCGCGGCCGCCTCCCCGCGCGGCGCGGCTCCGGGTAACTACTGTTCCGAGGCGCCTGACTAAACCCTCCAAAGCCGGGAGTGTCAGCGCTCACACTCGCGCCCCGGGCGGCAGACGGATGCGTCCCCGAGGAGCCGCCGCCGGCTCCGCGCCGCCGCTCCCCTCGGCGTCGGCCTGGGGCAGCCGGCAGCAGCGGGCGCGGGGCGGCCGGGCGCCGACACAAGTTAGTTTTCCGGCCGGAGCAGCCCCGCCGCAGCCCGGGAAGAGGAACCGCTCCTCTCCCCCCGACAGCGCCCCAGCGCCGCCAGAGCAGGGGCTTCCCCCGGCGCCGGGTCGGGGACGGGGAACTGCGGGGCGGCCGGCGGGGCGGGGACGCCCCTCCGCCATCTCCCGCCAACCGCCCAGGGACGCGAGGGGGACGCGCGGTCCGGGCGAGGCCTCGGCGGCTCCTCGCACCCCGGCTCCCCGCCGCCGGAGTGGAAGGGGGAGGCGCGCTCTCCGTAAGAGCCGGAGGCGGGGCGCCATCGCCTCCCACCCCCGGGCGGGCGGGCCGGGGGAGCCCGGTGCCGCGAACACCCCCAGACGGGAGGCGGCGGGAGGGGAGGCTGGACCGAGGGGCCTGGTCCGGGGACCGGCGGCGGCGGCGGCGGCGGCTCGCCTCCCTCAGGCCTGCGCGCGCCACAGGCCGCAGCCTGGACCCACCCCGCGTCCCCCGGCTGCGAGCGCGGCGGTCCCGGCCCCCAGCAGTGGGACGCCGGGCGGCCGCGGCCCCCGGGACCCGGCTCTCCGCCCGCTCCGCCCGCAGTCCCGGCACGGAGAGCGATCACCCGAGCCGCTGCCGCCGCAGCGCGAGTGTCGGCGGCGGAGCCCGGGGCGGGGAAGAGCCGAGGAAGGGGCGGCGAGGGGGCGGGCCGGCGGCGGCCGGGGGGACGGGGTGCGCCGCGCTCGGTGCCCCCTCGGCCCGCGCCTCGCCAGCACCACCTGCGGAGCCGCGGTGCCCACGCTGTGCCGCGACCCCGCCGCCCCCCGCTCCCGCCACACGCGGGCAAACAAAACAAGTTGCAGGTCGCTGCCGCCGGAGGGGGCCGGGCGGGTCACTCACCCTCATCCTGCTCAGCGGGCTCGGGTCGTCCGGCCGCGGGGTCAGGGAAGACCAGAGGACCACTAGCCCCAGGAAGCTTCCCACCACCAGCAAACTGCGTAAGATGAACCCAATCTTCAGCCTCATCTTCCTCCGGCGGCGAGAGACTCACAGCCCGGCGCAGCCGCCGCCACCGCTCTCCCCTCCCTCCTTCCCCCTCCTCCGGCTCTCCTCCTCCTCCTCTTCCCCCCACCCCTACCGCTACGGCTGCCGCCCTCTCCGCTGCCTGCCCTTTCCAGCTCCAGATCCGGAACTCCCCTCGTCTCTACCTTCCCCCGGGCTCTTCCCTCCGCCCCGCCCGCGGCCCCCTCCCCTCCGGCGGCCACCGCAGAGCTCCGACCGACCCGGGCGCCTCGCTCTTCCTGGCAGCCTTCCTTTCTACCTGCCCCCTTCCAGATCCGCAGTCTCTGCTCTCCGCGTGAGCCCCCTTCAGCGGCCCCCTGCTACCTTGCAACTAACTTGCACTTTCCCCAGGTCTGGTCCTTAGCCTTTGCCCTGCAGCTCAGCTCCTTAAAGCTTTCAGATTCCCAAACTTTTATTGCAATTATGGACCATAACTCGGTCTCTACCGTCTGTGCCCTCCGGGAACCCCTGACCCGCCGCCCCCTGCGGCGGACTTGGAGCGGCTCTTGGCTGCACCACTTCCCCTAGACCCACTGCCCTGAGCCCCCTACCGAGAGGCTTGCAGGAAGCCAACCAGGAAGTGGGACTACCGCTGCTGCTGCAGCAGCAGCTCCACGTGGCTGATTTATAGCTGAAGGGTTTTTTTTTTTTTTTTTTCTTATTGATTGTTCTTGCTTTTTCACACGGCTCCTTAAGGTGGTGGATTTGTACCGAAAGGCCCAGGTGAGATGTGCAAATATCACTGGATTGGAGGAGCTCACTTGGAAAGGCAGTATTTCTTTCTCTTGAGCTAATGGGAAAAAAAGGCATTCGTCTTACACCAATAAGCAATACCAACCTTGTTCACGGGCTGGTAAGTTTCAAATCCGAGGACGACGGATTTCAGGTTTTTAAAACAACTCCACCCTCATTGCCTCCCTCAGACCTGATTTTTGCCACTTGATTTCTGCTTTTCAAACGCCTTTTCTACCTATGTTACCTAAATTACAAAGGAAAGGGTATTGGCAAATGTTTAGCCAAATTTTCCGCCTTGAGGAAATAATTTTTCTGCCCATATCTCCCAATAAAGATGCCTATGACTTTATACCAGAGTGTATTTAATTACATTATCAGTGTACTATATCCTAAACTGCTAATTTTAATCGAACAAAACGTTTTAAGATTTTATCCAGAGTTGTGTTTTTGTTTGTTTTTGAGGCAAAGTCTGGCTCTGTCGCCGAGGCTAGAGTGGAGTGGAATGGTGCGACTTCGGCCCCCTCCACCTCCCTGCAATGTCTGCCTCCAGGGTTCAAGCAATTCTGCTGCCCCAGACTTCAGAGTAGCTTGGACTACAGGTGCATGCCGCCACGCCCAGCTCATTTATTTATTTATTTATTTATTTATTTATTTATTTATTTAATTTTAGTAGAGTCGGGGTTTCACTGTGTTGCCCAGGCTGGTCTCGACTCCTGAGCTCAGGCAATTCACCTGCCTTGGCCTCCAAAAGTGCTAGGATTACAGGCGTGAGCCACCGCGCCTGGCCTATCCTAGGTTTTAAGATGGTGAAAGCTGATTCTTTTTTCTCATACTGTGTTATATCTGCAAGATTTTGCTTTAAAACAAAACCCAGTTATGTAAAGTTTTAGAATGAAACCTTTTAAATCATCAAATAGATAAAAAATTGTACCAGACTACCTTCATGTGTGTTTTAGCTTGGCTTACAATAGCCAGGGTATCGGGGAGTTCTGCAGATACTATAATTTCAGAATTTCCACAAAATATGTAAAGTGATGGGTTCTGGAAATGTGGGATAGGTTGTAGTTAGGTGTGTTATTAGTTGGCTGAATGATTGTACACCTGTAGAAGTCCACTATATAGAGCACCTGGAAAGAGGGACTGTCAAGCGTTAAACACAAATCACTGCTTGATTCAGCATTTGTATCAGCCCCTTAGATTAAAGCCAGTTGTTTTAACTGGAAGCTGAGAGAGATTTCTCCTAAGACCATTTTTTTGGTAAAAAAAAAAAAAAAGATCTGGAAAGTGTAATTCATGAAGTGTGAATCTGCCTGGTAATGTGATATGAAAAGCGAATGCACGGTTTCTTGGTGATGATTCAGGTCGGTGTTGGGACCCAGGAGTCCCCTGTTAATCAGTACCCTGGTGATTTTGATCCCGGTAATCTGGGCACCACCTTTGGAGAAACACTGAAAGGAAGCAGGGTGGGGGGTTGGGAAAAGTCTTATGTAGATAATTTTGAAAGGCAGGAATAGGCTCATTTATGGACTGAACTTGAACTGTTCAGAAGTGAGGTGGACTCCATTTCTTTCTTTATTTTTTGAGTCAGAGTCTTGTTCTATCACTCAGGCTGGAGTGCAGTGGCACATTCATAGCTCACTGCAGCCTGGAACTCCTGGGCTCAAGCGATCTTCCTGTCTCAACCTCCTGAATAGCTAGGACTTCAGGTGTGAGTCATAATGCCCAGCTAATTTATTTTTTATCTTTTCGTAGAGACAGGGTCTGTTGTCAGGTCCTGTTGTCCAGGCTGGTCTGAAACTCCTGGCCTCCAGCCATCCTCCCTTTTTTGTCTCTTAAAATGCAGGGATTATAGGCATGAGCCACCATGGCTCACCTGGACTCCTCTTTATAGGAGATAGAGACTGGGCTGGAGATAGGTAACTTTCAAGGCATCTTACTGTGACCATAAGAGAATAATTTAATTTGAAATCAGCAGCTGAAGTCCACCTGAATAATTAAATCTGGCATTTCTGCTATTTTCACAGGGGAGACAGTTTTTTATTATTAAGGAAGTAGGAAGCTTGGTCCTGCACGGTGGCTCATGCATAATCCCAGCACTTTGGGAGGCCAAGGTAGGTGGATCATGAGGTCAAGAGATTGAGACCATCCTGGCCAACTTCGTGAAACCCCATCTCTACTAAAAAATACAAAACTTAGCTGGGTGTGGTGGTGCACGCCTGTAGTCCCAACTACTCGGGAGGCTGAGGCAGGAGAATTGCTTGAACACAGGAGGCGAAGGTTGCAGTGAGCCGAGATGGGGCCACTGCACTGCAGCCTGGTGTCTGGCAACAGAGGAAGACTCTGTCTCAAAAAAAAAAAAAAAAAAAGAAGGAAGCTTTATTTTTACTGTTATGAGCATAGCTGCATAAATATGCAAATGAAAGTGATACCTATCAACAAAGTATTGGGAATGGTTCTTTGAAGGTCCTAGTATTCTGAGAACATCCTGCCACCACCACCACTACCCTCCCCCACCTTTAGTTTTATATGCGGAGAACTTAAAATATGTGTGAAAGAGTATATAGTTATATAGTTGTATATTGATTAATAGGTATATAGTTGTAAAAGTTTATGTTTCTCTGAGACCTAATAACATTCAAAAGAAACTGCAAGTAAAATAACACAGGAACAGAAAACAAAATACCACATGTTCTCACTTATAAGTAGAAACTAAATGATTAGAACACGTGGACGCATAGACGGGAACAACACACACTGGGGCCTATCAGAAGGTGGATGGCTGGAGGAGGGAGAAGATCAGGAAAAATAACTAATGGGTAGTAGGCTTAATACCTGGGTGATGAAGTAATCTGTACAAACCCCCATGACATGTTTCCCTATGTACCAAATCTGCACATATACCCCTGAACTTAAAAGTTAAAAAAAAAAAAGTGCAAGTATACCTTAAAACATATGCCCATTGCAATATTTGCTGGGAAGCAGACTTTGTAGAGTAAATAGAACTCTGTTTAGAAAATGAGGAGCTACATTCAGAGCTTAGGTCAAGATAAATCACGTATGTCTCTGAACCTAGGACTTTTATCTGCTAAACGGTGATTACAATACTCAACCTCACAATGTTCTCAAAAGTAGTAATTGAGGTCAAGTACATATATAAATATAAAGTACACTTATATGACAAGTCTCAGATGTGTGTGGCTATACTTCTTGTTTTATGAATGCTGCAGTTCCTGGGATAATAGTCACTAAGGAAGAGGGTAGAAACTAGAACTGAATGAGATGGACACAGAGATCGCCAAGAGAAGCGTCATCCTCTGCCAAGTCATGGGGTCATGCGTGGTGGATGGTGACATGGCATCTTCAGCTCAGAGTCCAGCTGGGAGCTCAGAAGCAAGGTAACTGAAGGGAAGAGAAATCTGAGCACCTAATGTGTGTAAGATGCTTCACATTTATTATTTCACCTAACCTCTACACAACCTGATGTGGGTATTACTGCTGTCAAGGTGGGATTCAAAGCAGGTTTTTTTCTAACCTCATAATTCTTGCCAGACTCGACTAGCCCTCTGGGTCTGGAACATAAATGTTTTCAGGAACTGTAGTGTGCAAGAGGTCAGAGCCTAAAGCTTTGTTATTTTTTAATTTCTCCACCATGTCAACTCTGTTAAAGGGAAGCCCACCAGAGGGAATTGTACCCATTTGGAAGCTACACTCCCCTGGGGCCCTCACCATGCTTCCCTGTCTTCTCTATGCTGCAGCCAAGCTGAACTTCTAGGTTTCTAAATGTAACTCACTTAGCTTCAGGCCTTTGTACAGGGAGTTCTTTTTGCCTGAAATACCTTCCGACACCTTAACATTACACTTAGATGTCAGTTACAAAAAGCTTTTTCGAGTCTCTCTCCCATGTCCCACTCCACGCTCCTATGTCCCTTCCCACCAAAATACCTGGCTAGCCATCCTGCTAGGTGCTTCCACTGCACCCTCTGCTTCTCCTTTCCTCACGATTACTACTATATTGTAATTGCTTAATTTTTTTTTCCTATACCCAGATAAAGATATACATGAAGGTGGAGCCTTGTCTAACTAGATCGTTATTGTTACCTGTGTCTGGTATGTGGAAAGAACTCACTGAGTGTTTCGTAATGAAATGCTGACTGAATAATGGGATTGAAAATATAAAAGGCAGATGAAACTTAGAAGAGGGGTCAGGTTTACTTCAATTGCTATTCCTCCTCATCCGGAGGTTTTTCTTCCAAGGATAAAACTTTGGAGGTTTTATTAAATTAGCAAAGTGATTATTTTACACATGTTCATCATCATCACTTGATAGGCTGTTGTTTCCCGCTTACTCAGCATCCTACTAAGGCTACTCAGAACTAAGAAGAAAGGGTAGTTTTAATTAGGGTTTGTATTTTTGTATGTACTGAGATTTTAAAACACACACACACATACACACACACACACACACACACACACACACACACTCACTCACACCCCTGCATTTAAATGGGAACATGCAGCCATGGTGAATTATTTGCAAACAAATTTCAATATTAACTATGTCTGGTTGCCAAGAACTCAGGTGAGTCAGTGGCCTCTAAATTACTAAATAATCCTATCACCTATTCTATAAGCCATTTAATCACCTCTTTTTAAAGAAGAAGAACACCATTGGTGGTATCTTTAAAGGAAGATACATTTTATAGTTTAGAGAATAATTACTACTGGCCAGGCATGGTGGCACAGGCCTATAATCCCAGCACTTTGGGAGACCTAGGTGGGCAGATCATGAGGTCAAAAAATTGAGACCATCCTGGCCAATATGGTGAATCCCTATCTCTACTAAAAATACAGAAATTAGCTTGGCGTGGTGGCACATGCCTGTAGTTCCAGCTACTCAGGAGGCTGAGGCAGGATAATTGCTTGAACCTGGGAGGCAGAGGTTACAGTGATCTGAGATCGCACCACTGCTCTCCAGCCTGGCGACAGGGCAAGACTCCATCTAAAAAAATAGTAATAATTACTATTTAGATATCAAGGAAAGTATAGTTAAGTCTGTTAATAATTTATTAATTTTGTTTACTGTTGCTTAGTTATCGCTTACTGCTTAACAGATTACTCCAAAATTTAGTACATTGAAACAACAAACATTTATTATTTCACACAGTTTCTGAAGTCAGGAATCTCAGAGTGGCTTAGCAAGGTGGTCTGGCTCAGGGTCTCTCATGAGATTCTTGCCAGACCATCAGCTGGAGCTACCATCATAACCAACCAGGCCTGGAGAATTTGCTGCCAAGTTCACCCACATGGCCAGCGGGCAGGCCTCAGTTCCTCACTGGCAGGCGGTGGGAGGCTTCAGTTCCTTGTCACATGGGCTTCCCCACAGGGCTGTTCATGACATGGCAAGCTGACTTTCCCCCTGCATGAAAGATCTGAGGGAGAGAGAGCCCAAGGCAGTATCCACAGTCTTGTATAAGAAATGCTCTGTATACTACCTTTATCTGTAAAATGAAGGTGTTAGACCAAATGATATAACATCCTTTCCCATACTGAAATTCTGAGATTTTCCTATGATGTTGATGTGTGATTGAGACTTAAATTTGTGCTTTCATGTGGAATACTATAAAGTAAAATTCTGCCTTTGTACTTTTTTTCTGACATGGGGTAATATTTCTATCATAAGCTTAAGAGATGGATAATTCCTAAGCTGTGTTCATCTGGAATAAAGGACAGTTGTCAAGGGCTTCCATTTGATGAGGTTAAGGGTCTCTAACAGTGTTTTGAAAGCAAAAATACTTATTTAAAAGCCCTCGGATTTCACATTGTAGAACACTACCTCTTCATAATTTGGTATTGTTTTTGGACTCCCATAATTCAGAAGTGCTCTTCTGATTTAACCATTTATTTCAGAGGTGATTGAAGAGACATATCTGTCTGATATGGTCTAACACCTTCATTTTACAGATAAAGGTAGTATACAAAGCATTTCTTATACAGGACTGTGGATACTGCCTTGGGCTCTCTCTCCCTCAGATATGTCTCTTACCACTCTTGTTTAAAACCTCTTCAACACCTTCCCATTGCTCTTAGATGTAAGCCCAAACTCCCCCATTTATTACAAAGCCTCTGTGAGCTTGCCTCTGCTTACCTCTGCAGCTCCATGGCTGGTCAGTTATCCCCCGCTTTTCCAACTTAAACTACAGCCATGTTGACTTTGTCTCCATTTCTGAAATAGGCCAACCTCCCTCTCACATCTGGACCTTTGTGTATGTTATTCTCTTGCTTAGAGCACTCTCTGTAGTTCTTACACTAACCCCTCTCCCACAAACTCCCTGATAACCCTTCAGATTTCAATTTGTATATCAATTCTTTCAGAAACTTCTAATTGTCTTCATCCCCCCACCCCACTGCTAGGTTAGAGGACCATGCTTCATGCGTTCAGAGCACCCTGTAAAGTTCTACCTCAAAGCATATAGAGCTCAACTTTGTAATTGTTTATTCAGTTATCACCTTCATTAGACCATGTTTCTTAAGGGCAAGGACCATATTAGAATTTAGCATCGTGTCTCTGGGTGTTGACAGTGCTTACGACAGAAGAAATGCTCAGTATTGAGTCTGAACGAGTGAAAATAGATTTCCTATGTGCACTGTTTTAAGCGTAGGTGAAAGGGAGTTACATAGCAAAAATACTAATTTAAAAGCCCTCAGATTTCACAACGTGGTACACCACCTCTTCATAATTTGGTAGTTTTTGGACTTCCGTAATTTAGAATTCCTCTTCTGATATAAGAAGCATCTTTTAATAGCTTTTAAAAGGTGATAATATCTAAATGTTTTGCAGAAGCATTTTATAGGTAGATGGTTTTGCCTTTATTTGGGTGTTGGGAAAGAAAGGTACAGTATTGTACATTTTACCTGACCAAAACGAGTACTATAATTCCTAGATAATAAGCAGATAGCTATTTGAAATTGCCTGTCAGCTCACTGAAGGCAAAATGCATAGCCCAGAACCTCACATCTTTTATGTGGGAACTCAGTACCTACCTGGCAAACTAGCCTCTCTGTGTTACTGTCGATAATCTCTTAGAGCATGACCTTGAAATAATGGGTGAATGGAAAGAAACGCTGTCAGTGAAAGGGCCAGAAAGCCTACCCAGCTATATGCAGAGTAAGAGATTTGGCTAGACTCAAATTTCTAATTTCCTTTCAAATGCTCAAATTTCTTAAAATTAAGGTATGAAATGCACTGAAGAAAGACTCAAGTTCTCAGCAGGGTGGTTAGTTAAATGACCTGAAAGTTTTCAAAACGGGTATTTGTCATGGTATTACTGTAAGTCCTCTTAGAGCTTGTGCGCATAAACCTCTACATCGCTGACCAGGCTAGTTCCAGACAGTTATCAATTTGTTATCACATCCTTCCAGAGATCCTGCTTATCTAGCTACGCCTAGAACCTGACATTTCTTATTGTGGGAACCTGTAAGACAAAGCCTCTGCTTTGTTAAAACAGATTGTCTCTTAGATCATAACTTTGACACAACGGGTGGAATAGAAAGAAACTATGTCAGTGAAAAGGCCAGAGAACCCATGCTGCCATACATAAGATGAGAGGTTTGGCTAAACCACATTGGGCATAGCTGGATAAGCAGGATCCCTGGAAGTGTGTGAAGATGTGTGGGCAGGAGAAAAAAGTCAGGGAGGAGGGGACATTCCTGTGCTTGACCATCTTCTGAAAGTTTTTTGATTAGTTTAAATAATATTGCATTACTTTAGTAATGGACTATGCCTACAAGACTTTTTAGGCATTTGAGACAAGATAAACAGTTACACACAAATAAACTGAGATTCAGACTACAGAGTGATTACGGTGCAGAGAGATTTTCCCAAATGGTCCAAGAAGTAAGAAGCTGGACAGGGACTAGAGATCTGTTAATTCTAAACCTTTTATTTCCCAACTGTGCCATCCTGCATCTTGCTAATGTCCAGAAATTTCATCCTTTTTTTTTTTTAGAGACAGTCTCATTCTGTCACCGAGGCTGGAGTGCACTGGCACAATCTTGGCTCACTGCAACCTCTGCCTCCCAGGTTCAAACAATTCTCTGCCTCAGCCCCCAGAGGAGCTAGGATTGCAGGTGCCTGCTACAACATCTGGCTAATTTTTTTCCATATTTAATAGAGACAGGGTTTCACCATCTTGGCCAGGCTGGACTTGAACTCCTGACCTCGTGATCCACCTGCATCTGCCTCCCCAAGTGCTGGGATTACAGGCATGAGCCACCACGCCCGGCCTTATCCTTTCTTTAGTTTCTAACAACTGAACAATGGCAAGTACATTTTCTCTTTTATTTGAACATGCGGCTCTACATTACATGACCATTTGGAGAGGCACAACAGAGAGTT